GTTGTTTGGGCTATTGTCAGATGTGTATCACCTGTAGCACTGCGACCTACATAGATCTATTGTGCTCGCCCTTTTCAGAGTTCGCTACCTAGACCCGTCAGGGACAAGAATTGAAGGATATTCTTAGTAGCGATGGTTTTTATCTCCTCGGGAAAGAGTGTAAACTTTCCAAAGGAGATATTTCGTTTATGCATGAGTGGGCAACAACAACAATGACCATAGTCTATATATAAATGTGTATATATAGGTATATATTATATTATATGTATAGTACTTCTCAGTTTGTACGTAATATTATCTTATCTGTGGTTTGTACCTACTAATAAATGTCCATCTGTCTAAAATATGTCTGTCTGTTTGTTACATTTCAATATAGCAGAACGGATCTTAATGAAATTTGTCGTGAAGATTGTATGTTCTACGTGAATTTTTTTATATAGTATGCGCAATTTTTGTCATTAAAAAGCAGACGAAGCCACGGATTATGTTTTTTTTTTGACAATTCACACAGCGCCATCTAGACCCAAGTTAAGCTAGCTAAAGCTTATGTTATGGGTCCTAGAGAACTGATACAAATACATAGATAATTTTTTTTTCGTAAATACATACATATTATACATAGAAAATACCCAGACTGATACAAACAATCATACTCATGAATACAAATGTTTGTGTCGTGCGAGGAATCGAACCCGCGACCATCGGACGTAAAGCGGTGTGCTAGACCGCTAGACCACCGAGGTCGTCAATATATAATCATATCCAATATAAAAAAAATCAGTTATACCAATATTGTCTCCAGAACCGTGCTGCATGAAAACCATTTCACGCTTGTCATTTTATTTTATTATTTTACCTTAAAAGCCTTTTCTGTGACAAGATCTCCATTAGATTTTCTATATACAAAGTCACTTTATTTACATTACAAGTAATATCCATTTAATTAAATTCTTCAGATAAGTCACTTTTGAGCGAAGTATATCTAAATATGTATAACTCAAAGGTGACTGATGTAGTGATCTATCAACTCACAGCCCAAACCACTGAACGGATCGGGCTGAAATTTGGCATGCAGGTAGATGTAAGGATTTTGATTAATTCTACCCCCAAGGGGATAAAATAGGGGATGAAAGTTTATATGAAACTTCGACAATTTTAAACCGATCGTGCTGAGATTTTGCATGCATAAAGCTACTATGACATAGCCATCCCCTAAGAAATGATTTTGATAAATTCCACCCCTAAAGAGATAAGATACACGAGCGAAGCCGCGAGCAAAAGCTAGTATATATATATTTGAGAAATTGATATATATAGTCATATTTCATGTTTTAATAATAATACACATAAAATTCACGCAGCGTCATCTAGTCCTGAACTAAGAAGAGATTTTATTTTAGGCATATGGTAAAAATAATTAATTTTTTTTTAAATACAAAACACCCAGACCTATATAAAATAATACTCATAAATATAAATTCAGTACCGTTCGAAGAATCGAACCTGCAAACATCGGAAGTAAAAGCGGTGTGTTAAAGCGCTAAACCATCGACGCTGTCAAACATACATTTATATATGTATATATATATACATACAAAAAAATAGAAATGCCCGCTGTCTGTCCATGAATGATTCTATTTATATTAACGTAAACAATGATCGTTATAATTTTTGTCTATCTGTCACTTGTACGCGCAATCACAGAATCACCTTCATCATTTTTCATACAAAACACCCAGACCTATATAAAATAATACTCATAAATATAAATGTCAGTACCGCTCGAAGAATCGAACCTGTAAACAATTTTGACCAGATCGGTGTGTTAAATTGCTGGAGACCACCGACGCTTTAAATAAAATTTATTCTTAATTTTATATATATATATATATATATATATATATATATATATATATACAAACAAACTGAAAACCTAATTAACTAAATTAAATCTGATAAATATCTGACCAGACTTTATTAAATTCAGTCATTCTACTTATATCATCACAATCACACCTGCCCATTAAACGTTTTATAACCATTTCACATTTGGCTTCATTAGTGTGAAAGCGCAACAGACAGACAAACTTACTTCACGCATTTATAATATTAATAAGAATGGTTAAAAATACCTTTTGAATCTAAGGACTACCACCAAATTGAAGACTATTCAGTCTACCTCATACCTCACAATCATACCTGCCCATTAAATTTTTTATAACCATCTCACATTTGGCTTCATAAAGTCTTTTATTTCAGCGCGTTACCGGCGTCATACCACTGCTGTATTCGTAAACGGGCCTTAACTGCTATATCGAAATCCACATTTGAATGTATATATACCCTTAATGGCGCGAGGCTGGATTGTAGTTCAAGGTACGAGCGATAGCGAGTTCATTTTCTTCAGTTTCACGGCCTCGGTGATTCAGGCGTTTCAGGACACGGTTCAACTTAGAACAAAGTACTAGAGGGCGCTATCCACTGGCATGGCGAGGCGCTAGTTGAAGATGTAGAATATGGTGGTGGACATACGATCTTACGTCTCATCAGATGGTAAATGATTACCGCCGCCCATGAGCACCAGAAATACTAGGGGAATTGCAAGTACGTTGCCGACTTTTTAAGAAGGAATAAACACTTTTCTTGAAGGTTTCAATATCGTATCGGTTCGGAAATACCATTGCTGGAAGGTGATTCCACAATGTGGTTTATTTTCTAGAAAACCGTACCGTGGAATACCGCCATTCATCCAGATGATCAGGATGGTATTTCAGTTTCTGGCGGGTGGTACGGTGGTGAAACTCAGCAGCTGGTATTAATCCGAACAATTCCTCAGAACACTCCCCGTGATATATGCGGTAGAAAATGCACAGACACTTTTCTTGAAGGTGAAACCTTCATATTGCATCGTCTCGGAAAGATCATTGCTGAAAGGTGATTTCACAATGTGGTTGTGCGTGGCAAAAAGTTTCTACGCACGCTGGAGAATAAGTTATCCCCTTGGGGGTAGAATTAATCAAAATCCTTTCTTAGCGGGTGCCTACGTCATAACATCTACCTGAATGCTAAATTTCAGTCCGATCCGTCCAGTGCTTTGGGCTGTGCTTTGATAGATCACTATGTCAGTCACCTTTGAGTTATATATATTAAGATACTCTGAAATATATGCTGCGTATTTATAAGAAAGAAGTTTATACAGTAAATTTTGTGTCATTATTAATTAAAAATCGTCATCAATAGTTATTTTGTTACGAATCAACGCTTTCTCCTGTACTTTGCACCACAATAAAGTTCCAGTATAAATGGCCCACTGTACAGTTTTCAGTTTTAATAAGAAAGAAGTTTTTATAATACATTTTCAGTCAAGATATTATTATTATTAATTAAAAATCTTCATCAATATATTCGTAACAACGCTTCCTCCTGTATTTTGCACCACAATAAAGGTCCAGTATAAATGGCCCTCTGCACAGTTTTCAGCGAACATTTGAATGGAAACGACTTTATTCAGATAACAACCACGATTTTATCTTGATATATATCATACACAGATTATGGGCATACACTGTGATTGCGTTTTCCCCCCTTCATACAAAATCTCGATGTGCGAAATTCAATTTTTTTTTCAATATACAAAGCACTTTAATTTTAATTTTTGTATTTTACTTAATAAATGAAATGAAATTTATTCAAATAAAGTTAACATAAGCACTGTTGAATAAACACATTTTTTTTATTATACCACTCATTCGGAATGCAGAGTCATCACGATAGGAATGAGCAAGAAACTTGTGTGTTGCTCTAAAAAAAGTACTTATTATTATAACAAATTAAATAAAATTTATGTTCATCATCATTGCCTTCACCATGCCTTTATCTTATTATTTGTGGTCGTCGCAGTATGTCATTCTCTTCCACTGCTCTCTATCGGCCGTCATATCTGAGCATACTCTTCTTTTATTCATATCATCTTTCACACAATTAAATAAAATGAAATAATTTGTGATAAATTTGGTACATACAGTAAATGGTTATTAAATTATTTAGTTCCCATTTTCAGTCTTCATACACATGAAAAAACATATCAGATCAAATCAGACACGATGTAGTACATTTTAGCCGCTTATGAAAAATGTATAAAATTGTAAAATAATACGTGATGTCTGATCACGGTCACCCATCCATCCGCGTGTCCCGCCAGCTCATTCGCAGGTTACGCAATTGTCCTATTAATTAAAGCTATTAACCACACATAGACACCCATTCTAAGATTTTTAAACTGTGTGAATCAGTTTTATAGCTCTGTAGTTTTCGCATAGACTTCACCTTGGTTTTTGTGAAAAGGGACCAGAAAGCTTTTCCGTCAGGCATCCGAAATTGGTCAGTTGATATATTATCTCTTCTTTTATTACTTAATTTTATATATAATATACATGATGACTGGCTTATCCGTCATACTCGTGAACGAGTGCAGCTTGTAGGGACTGGTCAGCTCTTGTCATTACGACTGATTTAATCTTATTGTGTATTTATATTTGACCCTAATAAATTAGTGCTGGTTGGTAGTTTGTATTCACACGTTTCGACTTGTAAAATGTGAACTTACAAGGATTGTTTAAAAGAGCAACACACAAGTTTCTTGCTCGTTCTTCTTATGATGAAACAAATTTACAAATGAGCGGTAGATTAAAAAAATATGACTATTCAAAAATGCTTAAATTAAATTTATTTGAATAAATGATTATCTATTCTATTCTATATTTATTAGTTGTTGTGTTAAGTGATGAAGTAATAAATGATATCATAATAATTGTTTGGTTTATACACACATAACAAGGAACTTCGTTCTTATCACAACACTTGAATAAGAATCATTAAAAAAAATTAATAAATTCAATGATATGCTATCTTCGTTATCGCGTTTATAAAGAACCGTTAAAGGTGATAAAGAATAAACTGTTATTGAAAAAGTCAGTAGTCTATCAGTTCCCGACAGTACCATGCCACTAGTAGTACACAAAACGGATGGCAGTCCACCTGTCAGGGCTGTACTCATGACGATTGAACTTCTCAAACTCGAAGCAGACTTTGTTAGTCATAATACTCTAAAGGGAGATACTAGAAAACCTGAATACGTTGCAAAGAACCCAATGCATACAGTACCATTGCTTGAAGACGGAGATTTCATTCTTGCAGACAGTCACGCTATTATAACATACCTAGTGTCCAAATATGGTGGTGAAAAACAAAAGGATCTGTATTCTAATGACTTAAAGATAAGAGCTACAATTGATCAGCGTATGTACTTCGATGCTGCAGTAATATTCCCGAGATTTATTTCCATAATATACACAGTTTTTATATATAAAGCACCAGAGCCTACGCCACAGCAAGTTGAAGATGTTAAAGAAGCGTATGGAATTTTAGAAAGGTATCTACAGAAGTCCGAGTATGTAGCTGGAAATAATATAACTGTGGCAGATATATCGATAGTCGCTACAATATCAACGCTTGATGCAATGATTCCAATTAGTGATGAATTCCCAAAAACTATTGAATGGCTGAATAAGTTGAAAGAAACTGAATTCTACAAGAAGGCAAATGAACCTGGTTTGGCGGTTATTTCAAATGCATACAAACTAATGGTTAAGCAGAGATCATCGTAACCTTATTTCAATAAATTTGTGTTTTAGTAGTTATAGTGCTTCTTTCTTGTCAATTCTTCCATTTTTTTTCTTTTAATGTATAATGGTGGGTAGTATATATTAATTTCATTAACCGTACTGTAATTATTATATAAAAAGTACTAAATTACGCAAATTATGTTTTATTAGAGTTGAATATACTTGGTGAAATTATTGCACGTTTGTTTTAATAAATTAAAGAGCTTATAGTTCTAGAGGTTTAGCACACCCCTTTACTTTCGATGAACGCGGATTTGATTCCTCGCACGATACAAACATTTGTATTCATGAGTATGAATACAAATGATGTCAGGGCGTTTTCTATGTATAATTATGTACGTATTTACAAATATATCTAATGTATTTATGTAAGTTGTCAAGTACCCATAACACAAGCTTTGCTTACCTGACTGTGCGAAAATATTTTAAGAGTAGCACTTGTGAGTAGCTATGACGTGGTCTGGTGTTTTGAGTAGTCATGCTCACTAAAATGTCCAGACTTGTGGCGGCGTGGTGGGCCGGGTCATTGGGCTCCCTAAAATATGATCGAGCGCAGTGGTGGCTGGCTCATCCGTCCTACACGTGAACGGGTGCTGCTTGTAGGGACTGGTCTGCTCTAATCACTATGACTTATTTTCTCTTATTAATTGTTTAACCAGTTGTTGTGCATTGAATGTTTTTTTCTATTTTATTATTTCATTGAATTAGTGCTAATCGGTAGTTTGTATTCACACACTTAAACTTAAATTGTAAGTAAAAGTAAATTATTTAAAAGAGCAACACACTAGTTTCTTGCTTGTTCTTCTTGTCATGAGACAGCATTCAGAATGAGCGGTAGATTAAAAAAAAATGTTATGACTATTCAAAAGTGCTTCAATGTAAGTTTATTTGAATAAATGATTTTCTATTCTATTCTATTCTATTAAAACTACTTATTGCTAGACAAGTACAGTGATCATATGACAAACTTTTAAAAACTCTGCTAAATGTCAGAAATATCGTGAGTATGCAACTAAAGACAAGAATATTGAATTGGTCATGCCTATAAATAGTGAATTTGTTGATAGGTATGTTTGTAAATCCTTTACCACGTGTTACGTTAGCTCTAACCATTAAAGTACATTTTTTTTTGATGGTAGCAATCAAGCACACGGCCCATCCGATGGTAAATGGTTACCGTAGCCTATGAACGCCTGAAACATCAGGGGTATCACTTGCGCGTTGCCGACCCTTAAGAAACCTTAATATACCCTTCTTGAAAAACCCCATGCTGTAGTCTCGTGGGAAAACCTCGGCAGGAAGTTCATTCCACAATCTAAGTGTACGCGGGAGGAAACTCCTCTGAAACCGCACTGTTCGGGACCACTTAGGTTCCAGTGTGTGGGGATGCATTCCCTGTCGATGACGAGCGGTGCCGTGGTAAAAGGTGGCTGTCGGCATCATGTCGAACAATTCCTCAGAACACAGTCCGTTGTATAATCGGTAGAACACACAAGGCGAGGCGAAGTCTCGCCTCAAGCTAAGTGGACCGCCAGAGAGATTGGGATCATCGACAATTCTCATAGCACGTCTCTGAACCGAGTCAAAAGGACCGAGCTGGTATCCAGGTGCTCCCGCCCAAAGATGAGAGCAGTACTCCATGTGCGTCCGAACCTGTGACTTATATAAGAGAAGTCTCTGGTCCGCAGTGAAGTCCATAGTAAGTATTCATGAACAATGTATATTGTATTTGAATGTTAATATGATGGTTGATAAAATTAATAAATTTACATGTTGTCATTTTACAGAATATCATTCATAACAAAAAAAAAACATCAAAAATCGTCAATTTATTAGTAGTGACTTCAATTTTTTTGTAAATCAACTCAAATTATTCAATAATTTAAGATCCTTCGGTAACTTATAAAGTATCACCGCTTGATTTCTTGGTCACTAGGTTTAGTGTAGGAATTATTACCTTCTGTATATTCATTCTCCTTGTTATTAAACGTTGTTTCATGTTCTCTTCAGATTCATACAGATGTTTGTTTTTGATTACATCTGTCAACAAAACCTGTATATATAGACTGGGTACTGTAAGAATTTTTAGTCTTTTAAAATGGTCTTTACATGATTCCCAGGGTGCATTGCAAACTGATCGCTCTTTTTTGTACAGAAAGATAACAATCGTGTTGTTTTAAAAAATATATAATATGGAACGAGAAGCCACAAATTAATCCACTAATTGATAAACATTACCTTCTTATTAATCTTATCTGAAATATAGATAAGAGTTTTATTAAATTAAATCGTAGTCAGTTTATACACAATAATAATGACACCTTTACCTTTTTCCTCCCGCGTACACTTAGATTGTGGAATGAACTTCCTGCCGAGGTTTTCCCACTAGAGTACAGCATGGGGTTTTTCAAGAAGGGTATATTAAGGTTTCTTAAGGGTCGGCAACGCGCAAGTGATACCCCTGGTGTTTCAGGTGCTCATAGGCTACGGTAACCATTTACCATCAGATGGGCCGTATGCTTGATTGCCACCATCGTAGTATAAAAAAAAAACTTGTGTAGGAAGAAGTTTAAGACGAGACGAGAAAATAATAAGGCAAATTATATTTAATAATTAAAAATAAAAGCGGTCCAAGTTCTTCCTTATTACATCAGCTACCTGGCAATAAAAGTCCCATCAAAATCGGTCCAGCCATTTCAGAGATTAGCCGGAACAGACAGACAGACAAAAATTGTAAAAAATGTTATTTTGGTGTATGCACCGTATATATATTCATATGCATGTAGTAAAAAACGGTTATTACAATATTACAAACAGACACTCCAATTTTATTTACATGTATAGATAAAAAAAATCTCGGACTATCGTATCTTATGTCAACATATCTAAACTCCACTGATTTTTTATCTTCTTATGGAATTTCAAAATCATTTCTTCGTGCCTACGTCATATTTTATGCACAAAGTTTCATCGGTTTAAAATAACAATGTTTCATATCAAACTTTCATCCCGTATTTTATCCCTTTGGCGGTTTAATTAATCAAAATCCTTTCTTAGTCTCTCTCTCTCTCTTTCTCTCTCTCTCTCTCTCTCTCTACGTCAGTCACCTTTGAGTTATATATATTTAGATATCTAAACTCCACTGATTTTTATCTGTATGCCTTTCGATATTTTCGTAAATTTTACACAAGTCATTATTACAATAACAATGATATCAGTATCAAGTTTGTCGCGTATTATGTCCACTGTACTCCACCATGTCTCCAGCAATTACATCTTCCCACCCCTTCCTTGGTCTGCCTCTGCGTTTTTTACCGGGGATGGAAAGCTGTAGCGGCAGATTGCCAACGTAGTCAGGTGGTCTTCTTTTCACGTGGGCGTACCATCTCAGCCTACTTTCCTGTATTTTTTCGGCAATGTCGCGAACAGATAAAGAAAATAAATCCAGTATTCGCAAACTATCCAAATTCTATTCATCTGCGGAGCCCTAAAATTGTGGTTATATCATCCTAAAGCAATGCTGTTGTTATCTCTTTTTTGCCGACGCTAATAAGAAAAATCAATCCGCTTCATTATTTACATTGTATGTATATGTCGTGACCAAATTGAAGAAACTATCGTCATAAAATTACTGACCGTTTTGATATAATTGCATTTACGAGTCTACGGGGAAAACATCCAGACCAAAATAATAATACTCTTGAATACAAATGTTTGAATTCTGTGAAGAGTCGAACTCGCGACCATCGGAGGTAAGGTGTACAAAACCACTACACCAGTGTCGCCACTTTACCAAATCGTAGAATCTATCGTCATAAAGTAGATCGAAGAAATATCGTTTCGTAAAGTAGATGCATTTTTATTCATTGACTGTCTGTTGTCACAATAATGACATAATCTATCGATTAAATCTTGATCAATTCGCTGATCTGTTTAATCACATATACATCTTTATCTATGACGGCCTTTCTATCTATATATAATCTAAAACAAAATCGATATATACATAATTATAACACACGAAATAACGACAAACTTGTAATTCCAAAAGAAAGACTAGCAAAATCTATTAACAGGGACAGCCATTGAAGATGATAAAGTACAATAAATCGCCAAAAGAAGTAGCCTATTTAGCAATTTTAAAATTTAGAAGAACATTGAAGTAATTTTTTAAAAATAATTCATTTTATCATATGAATAAATTTATGTCAAAATCAAATTTAAATTTATATAATTTTGTAACTGACGAGCTAAATGTAACCTGTTTTTACATGGCAAATAAATAAGTCTAAATCTGAAATCTAAATATATATTAATGTTAATATTACTATCACATTCTATTAAAACTTGTACTTAGTACTTCACTCCACTAGGCTCACTCTATGTAATCAATTTTTCGGCGCTCAATATGTATTGTAAAAACGAATTTCTCTGTACAATTATGTATTTATATAATGACAGTCTGTTGTCAAAATAAAGATAAAAAAATATGATCAATTCTACAATCTGTCCACGTCATATATACATCGTTATGTATACCGGCCTTCTATCTGTATCTTCGATAATGACACACACACGGATCTCAACACTTGCTAGTTACCGTTCAACCTGTGCGCAGAAATGACGCTTGTATTACACAAAGTCGACAGAAGCCCCCCGGTCAGGGCAGTTCTCATGACCATTGAGATCCTAGACCTTAAATATAAACCTGTTGAAGTAGACACACTCGCTGGTGAACATTTAAAACCGGAATATTTAGAAAAAAATCCTATGCATACAGTGCCTTTACTTGAAGATGGAGAATTTCCTCTCGCAGATAGTCATGCTATCATGACTTACTTAGTATCAAAATACGGAGCGGAGAAACATAAAGAATTGTACCCTACCGACCTGAATATAAGAGCTACTATCAACCAACGTTTGTACTTCGAAGCTGGTGTACTATTTCCTAAAATAATGGCTATGTCTAGACCCATGTTCAGGAAGGAAACTAATGGACCTAATCAACAGCATATTGAAGACACTGAAGATGCGTACGGGGTTTTGGAGAGGTACCTGCAAAAATCTAAGTTCTTAGCTGGAGATCATTTAACCCTAGCCGATATATCTATAGTTGCTACAATATCAACTTATGAAATATTAATCCCCGTAACGGATAAATATCCAAATCTGGTGCAGTGGCTCAACGTAATGAAAAATTATGATTTCTATAAAAAAGCGAACGAACCAGGCCTGTTGCAAATAAAGGAAATATTGACGGAATTGTTAAACCAACAAATCTGATTTATATAAATAAATGTTAGTTTAAAATTAGACACTATTTAAATAAAGATAAAATATAAATAAAGGGAATGTTTGATTTTACCAGTTAATAAATCGTCATGTTACTTATATATTATAGTGATATAATTTGTATTGTAGAGGTAGTTAAGATTTTATTTGATTATAATCAAACAATTTGGCAGTGGCAGATAATCATTTATGAACTGATAGGAATCTAAGCCTGCTAGTGCAACTGTAGATACATGTTCTAGTATAAAGTTTACTGCAGATCTTTTATTTTCTTAATAAAAATGTAAACAAATATATTTAAACTATAAAATGTTATTGTTTGATACATAATTTAAACCTCCCAGATTACGGAGGTAAGATATAGTAATGACTTAATAAAAAAATATATTTTTTTAATCCCATTGTAATATCCATTGACCTTCATACTTGCCTATTATGTCTTATTTTTTCTACAAGGTAAACAAAGTCATCCAGTTTAATTAGAGAACCGGTTCGATGCTCATTCGTCATCTACAATAGCGGCACCCCCCTCGCGCCTCCCCGTGAATCGAGTTATTGTAGGGTTGATAGATGTTAGAAAAATATCGATATTACTATCGATATCGACGATGTAAGTACCGATATGTGATCGACAGATAACGTCAATGTCCAGCCGATCTGATATTATGTCATCTTTCGTTTGACCTTGACGTTTTTTTAGATCGTCGACATCAGAAGCCTATTTGAAATAATCTTTGTAACGATGTTTCGATATTATCGGCGACTCGATATCGGTGTTATACAACTCGACATCGATGTTTTAAAACATCGAATATTGATCATCCCTAGATTATCACTTCATCTCGGCCTCAAGTGTGACAAAGTGCTACAAAACTTTGACGCAATCATTCATATTGTAAAATCAACTTGATATCTACTACATTATCGCATTGCTATCTTAAATCACCTCACCGAACTAAAATTGTAAATAATATAACGATAAGGTACCTTATCTGATTTGTGTGGTGTAATATATATAGTTACTAAACCCTTTGACACCCAGTCTATTTGCGATAGCAAAATGCCAATCGTGTTATATAAAAACAACGGCAGTCCTTTAAGCAGAGCCGTCCTTATGACCATTGAGGTTCTTAAACTTGACATCGAATTAGTTCATGTCAATACACACAATGGCGAGACCCGAGCACCAGAATTTCTTGAAAAGAATCCAATGCATACAGTGCCTGTAATTGAAGACGGAAAATTCATTCTATCTGACAGCCACGCTATTATCACATACTTAGCGTCCAAATATGGAGGTGAGAAACAAGCGGAACTATACCCAGATGACTTGAATATAAGAGCTACAATTGATCAGCGTTTGTTCTTCGAAGCAGCAGTTGTATTCCAAAAATTTATACCCATTGCAGTTGGGGTATTTAAGAATAGAGTACCTGGACCTACCCCACAACAAATTGAAAATACGAAAGAAGTTTATGGAATGTTAGAAAGATATCTTCAGAAAACTCAATATATAGCTGCGAATAATATTACAGTGGCTGATATATCTGTGATAGCTACAGTGTCAACACTAGATAAAGTAGTGCCAATAAGTGATGAATTTCCGAAGACTATTGCATGGTTCAATAAACTAAAGGAAACTGAATTCTACAAGAAAGGAAATGAGCCAGGGCTGGCGATATTCACAGAAGTCTACATTCAAACTGTGAAACAGAATTCGTCGTGAGTGTAAATTAATTTTATAATAAATGTATTAAAAACATATGTGGTTATTTTATTATATTTAAAAATAGAGTAATTGCATAATGTTTTGTAATACATTTTTCTGAGATTATATTTATTTAAATCCAAACTAGATTTACCCGTAATTTATCCCCTTAGGGGTGGAATTTATCAAAATCATTTCTTAGGGGATGCCTACGTCATAGTAGCTTTATGCATGCAAAGTCTCAGCCCGATCGGTTTAAAATTGACAAAGTTTCATACAAACTTTCATCCCCTATTTTATCCCCTTAGGGGTAGAATTAATCGAAATCCTTTCTTAGCGGATGCCTACGTCATAACATCTACCTTCATGCCAAATTTCAGCCCGATCCGTCCAGTGGTTTGGGCTGTACGTTTATAGATCACTATGTCAATTACCTTTGAGTTATATATATTTAGATAATAGCTTTCCTCATCCTTATTTTTTCACTATTACTTACATTTTTTTATTATGCACATATATAATTTCTTATCTCATTAAGTTAGGGTAGTCAAGATATTAGCAAAGCAAAAATTTTATACCCCTTTTTACAGAACTTGCGCGGACCGAGGTTTATTAAATTTCGCAAACTTATAGTTTATACTGAGAAGGAGAAATTATGCATAAAAAGACTTTAAATTAATGTATTTGACATACACACGCATATATACTCTTTTGTTTAATCTTAAAGTCTGTGGTCAAATTGTGAATAGATTAAAAATTTTTGCTATTAATATGATTTGTGGGGGAAGTGTATTGTTAGTAATGGGAGCTAGTAATCCCCATTGCTATCAATGTACCATGATAGATCGACCTTCACGCGGTTCCTCCTGGAAACCATTGTGATAAATTCTGGCCTGACTTCATCTTATCATCCTCCACAGGTGCCCCGCCAGCTTAAAAAAAAGTTAGCGCAGGCGGATGTACCATTTTATTATCATCCACAAAAAAAATATGATTTGTCTATAGTCTTACTGAATGTTAAATTAATTATGATCAAATTTCAACCACTAGATGACCACTCCTATAAAAACTAACACACATTAAACAAACTCAGCAAATAATGCAAACTTAACAAGAGCCAAAAACAGAAATCGTATTCATTCCCAAGGTTTCATTCGATGGCGGACCAATATTTTATCCTAATTACTTCCATCCCAAATGACCATTCAAACAGCGGGACTCGAACCCGTGACCGTTCCTTAATTAATTTAACCGTGAACATTGACAAACGGACCCAGAAATAAATCTACTGCAAATATAATTAGGAAGCTCTCATTCTACGACGATGTTTGGTTAAGGGAGATATAGAATAGTATTAAAAGGTTACTTGGGTTGAGACAGCGGTTTCTCTTGTAACAATTAAATATGTATCGATTTCCAGACTGTCTTTTAAGTAGCAAAAATGGCAAACAGTAATAGCAATATAATGAAAAACTCCCATTTTTCTATCGGGTTGTTTGGGCTATTCTCAGGTGACTGTAGCACCTGCAGCACTGCGATCTACATAGATCTATTGTGCTCGCCATTTTTCAGAGTTCGCTACATAGACCCGTCAGGTACAAGAATTGAAGGATATTCTTAGGAGCGATGGTTTTTATCTCCTCGGGAAAGAGTGTAAACTTTTCAAAGGAGATATTTCGTTTCTGCATGAGTGGGCTACAACCACATAGGATGTGTAGTGGCGTTTCCTAACTCCCATAGTTCCCCGTCATACGCCATCGCTCTGGTAGCTGCCATACTTCTAACTCCTGTAATTTCTTTGTCACGTCTTAATTCAACTGAAACACAGCATTTAAAGCCAACTCCTTGGCTGTAGCCAATCATAGAAGTTTATTGGTAAAAAATAATATAGAATAGAAGAAAAATAATTGATACTAAAATAAACTTAATATAAGCACTTTTAATAGTTACATTTTTTATTCTACCACTCTTTGGCAACGCAGAGTCATCACAAGAAGAATGAGCAAGAAACTTGCATGTTTTGCAAACCGACCCATTTCGGTTTCACACGAGTGTGCAAATTGTGATATTGCTTATGTGTTTGGAATTGCAATATCTAAAATTTAAACTATTTTATTTTACTTATCATTTATTATTATAATCGATCTGTTATTTTGTACAATTGTCTATTATTATTATTATATCGAGCTGAGTTTCTTATCAGTTCTTCTCATCTTGAAATCAATCCGAACGGACGGTATATTTGACATATCATAAATCTGTACCTACATGAAAAAATATTTTGAATTCGAATTCGAAATTTGAATTTCATAAGATAGTATAGGAGACAAAAGTTTCTTGTGATAACATATATATTTTTGTTTGGTATAGTGCGAGGGTCGGAGACATCCGTCACGGTTGAAGTAATGCGACATGTTATTGATTGTTATGACCGGTGACCGGATCACGGTAAGGATGAATTCACATTGCCATGTATCATATCATATTTTTCTTTCTTTTTTTCTTTCTTTCTTTCTTTCTTTCGGTCTTTCTTTCTTTCTTTCTTTCTTTCTTTCTTTCTTTCTTTCTTTCTTTCTTTCTTTCTTTCTTTCTTTCTTTCTTTTTTTTATGTGATTAAGAAAAAAGAATTGGTAAAACGGAGAAAATATATTAATAATAGACTAACATATTAGAAACAGAAAGAATGAATTGAAGTATCAAAAACAAGAATGTAATATAAAAGAACTATAAATGATTAGATGATATTAGAATAGCAAACAAGCTGAAGACATATGTGATGATAATTGATCGCCTATGTACATGAACATCACGTTATCATGTCAATTGTGACTACACTCATGCGTTGCTATTCCGGAGAACTAATAATAAGCTTAAAAAACAACCTGAAAGCTGAAATAATGGCAGATGACTTTTTATGAAAACCATAATAGTGTAGCGGTTAGCTGTCTTACATTTCCATGGTCACAAATACGATCCGCACACTATAAGATAAGACGGTAGAGAAAACATATTAATTACAAAAAACTTGACGTTCATAAGCGGCTAAAAAGTCCTACATGAGTAAATGATTTTGAATTTGAATAATGACTTTTAACTTTGTCAGAGTTGTTTTGACATCTATTTGATTGAAAGATTCATTTATATGTTAAACTAGCTGTACCCGCGACTTTGTCCGCGTGGAATTTATTTTTATTTTCTGAATTAAAAAAAAACAATAATAAAAGTAGCCCAAGTTACTCCTTATTACACCAGCTACCTGCCAAAAAAGTCCCGTTAAAATCAATCCAGCCATTTCAGAGATTAGCCGGAACAAACAGACTGACAGACAGACAAAAATTTTTAAAAGTGGTTTTTTGGTATATGTACCGTATTTATATTCATATGTATGTAGTTAAAAACAGTTATTTCAATATTACAAACAGATACTCCAATTTTATTTATATGTATAGATATAATTATGCATAAATAAATATTATATACCAATAATAGTACAATACTTCTATAAAACCTTTCATATAAATGAAATCGAACAAACAAACAATCATCACTCATTAATACAATTAATACGATTATTTTGCTAAAAAGAAGTAATAAGTTTTAGCTTGAAATAATACTATATTTACTGCATCATTTATAACGCATAATTTGAATAAATACCAAGAAAAACAAAATATTTAAAAATATAACCTCAAATTTATTTTTCCTCCATTTTTTTTTCTTTTTTGGTCACAATAAATAATAAAGGCAAAGTAAAGTTAACATACTGCCATGTATGAGCGAGTGTTTATACCGAAACTCCTGCAGACATTGACAAGTCTCACTGAGCAGATAATAGCGTTTCCTTGTAAATATTACGTATCGTAGATCTTTATTAGGTAATTATTTCTGAGTGAAAACCCACCCGGAACTATGACGGACAGTTTTTCGGGGCCGTACACATTCGCCTTTATTGCTAACGACATAGAGTTCATAGTTAATTATGCGTATCAAATGGCCGGCCGACTGAAAGTATTTCCACAAAATAATTGCCGTCGATAACAATTGGTATTTTTCTTTTATATAAGACCCAGTACAATATGTTTCTTTTTACTATTTTTTTTTTCTTTAAATGACCCAGGACCACTCACATAAAGCTATTTAGTCCTAAAATAAATAAAGCTTGTAGTATGAATACTAGACAATTTATATACTATTTCTTTTAATATACATTATTTAAATTATTAACCGGGTCTTGAAGAGAGAGGTTGAAGGGAGAGAGGACCCGGTTAATAATTTAAATAATTTATATACTATTTCTTTTATACAGGACCCAGTATAATATGTTTTTTTTTCTCATATTTTTTTTAAGTAACCCAGGACTACTTACATACAGCTATTTAGTCCTGCACTAAATAAGGCTTGTAGATATATAATTAATACTAGACAAAAAATTTAGTTATTTATGAGTTAGTAACCATTTTTAACAGCTAACTTCAGTTACCGTGCCGTACCATCCATCATTATAACTAATGTACCGCGAGGTCGGTTAAAAGAGAGGTTATGAGTTTACATTTGTTACGTTGCCATAGAACGGCAATTCATTTAGTAATTACGAGTATATCACTGTCGTGTTTAGATAATAAATATTACTGATTAACTGTTCCCACGACTTTTATTTTTCAAAAATAAAAGTAGCCTAAGTTACTCCTTATTACATCAGCTACCTGATAAAAGTCACGTCAAAATCGGTCCAGCCATTTCAGAGATTAGCTGGAACAAATAAATTCATGTGACTTTTTTTTCTGACTACTCTAATGCTGTTGGCCGCAGCTGGCCTTTAGAGCTTCACCGGAAACAAACAAACAGACAAAGAGAAAAAATTGTACTCTAAACTCAGTGTAGCTATTCTACAAACTTTCATCCCCTATTTTATTTTACCCCCTTAAGAGTAATATTTTTACGAACATTGAATGTCATATTTATTTATATTTAATCAGTATCGTAAAAAACATGTTCCAAACTTACATCCTTTCAACCAC